CAATAAAAACAACGGTGTATCCTTTGACCCTTTACCATCGCGATCGTTACAGTACGTGTTTTAAAATTCCTAAAACTAGTGGTTATTTTAAATGACAAGAATTGCAGATAGTGAATACCAGAATAGACTTTCCTCTCATTCATATAGAGTTGACTTTACAAGTCAACTTCTCCACCGCTAAATCTGCCGTCTTCAATTTCCTTAATGCAATTATGTTACCTTCCTTCCATTTTCTTGCCCTAAACGCTTCTCTATCCGGGTCCCCACCTGAAACTTCAAGTCATCGGTAACAATAGACTTTTTCAATAAAACAGCTCCATAGGAGTTTCCTTTATGGGTTAAGTAGAGATGTTCTTAGTTATTGTCGATAAATTTGATATTACCTGATGCAGAATCGTTATGACAGGGGGTAAAAGCAACAACAATACTTAGTAGTTATCGTCAGAAATAGTGCAATTTCAATTTTGTATAAAAAGGTTAAACCTACCAAGCAAGGTTATTCGTTAATCATTTTTAAGTAAAATATTCTGATGATATTGTTTGCTAAACGAATAATTCCAGAAACCTTCAACTACCCATAGCACTAGGGGCCACATACACATGATCTGGCATAGAAAAACTAATAGCATTAAATGTGTTTTTTTTACATAAAACAGGACCATAATTTATCACAAAAACTTTTTTTTGTTTTTTTCGTGTCAGTAGAGCTTTTTGTGACAGAGTTCGCCCAGAGAATTACTGCCATTTCACTTATTTCTGCTGCCAAGCAATGATGTAAATATTACTACGTTCTGGTTATGAAGGATAATGGTGCTAGTGAAATTACAGGCACATGGAACTTGTCAACTTGTTGTCTCTGGGTGGCATTGTCAGTGCCCCTCAGATCTTTGCGAATTAAAGCTCTGACTGGCACTGCAACTGCTATGGATAGGCGTGTCGCTTATCATTAGACGCACGACTTGTTCGTCCCGTCAGTTTGTATCATAAAAAACCTCGGATTTGACCATGTCGATGGACTTCCGGCAAATCGAAAATTTTTGCGCTAAGTCCACATCCCATCACTAGTTTATAGCCTTAGTCATCTTACCGCATTGCCGTTCCATCTAATTCCTTGAGAGCCTTGGGAGGTTTAATGTTAACGAGTTATTGATTGCGTTAATGCCACATACGTTGTAATGCATGGTGATTTAGTTGAGTGCTCGGTTTAACGATATGGGGTTTATAGGTTTTAGGGTAGTCTACACATGGGATACTGGTCTATGAATACGCTGCCTTCTTTATCGACGCAGTTACCCGTTCTTCTTATGTCTATAAAAATTTGTACAATGACATGTGTAAGTTTATTGAGAAAAACTAAATATTCAAAAACAATTTCTTATATGGGAAAGGTGGACACGTCATAATGGTTTTTACCTGCATTAAGAAAACAGCAACTTGGCTTTGTTTTAGCATAAAAGGATTTTTTATATCTTCATATTTTATTCTAACCAAAATTAGGCCTATGCAAAGTTATTGTACTAGCGACAAATGGTCCACAAAGTTATTAATGTACTTGCAAAAATACCTACAGATACACTAACAATCCATCTGCTCAACCTTTGCTGATAACATTTGCCATATTTAAGAAGAATATTTGAAATTAGGAGTTTTAAAAAACCGCAATACGTGGTTACGACGTCACACTGTATAGTTTACTTTGATATATGTCTTTTATTTGTATGTATTCAGGGTGTTTATATTATAGGCAGGTGTTAAATTTTCTTGGTTTTAAGTTTATAACGATAAACACCTTGAACGGTTTTATTAAGTATTTCTTTTTTAATTTGTAGTTATACATATTAAATATTTTGTTACCACTGCATAAAAATTATGCCCATTTAAGTCACACTGTAGTGAAGAAAACTTTGGTTAAAAAAATACGGTATTTTCCCACCAAACTGAAGAATATGTTAATTAAGATGTTGAAAATCGATCTTCAAATTCATTTCCAGCGAATAGGCATATCAATACATAAGGATTAATTTTTGTGATACAACCTTAGATTGTTTTTTTACTAATTAATGTTGATTTTAGACTACCTATAGATATACAGGTTGCAATCAATAAGTGTGCCTAGGTGATTATTCTATAAATATAAGAAATAACCTTTAGCTTTGTACAACTGTTTTAAATACAACATTTTATACTTCAAAATAAACATCACTTTGTTTTAATTCTCTTTGTCACAGATTACTTAATAGTTACTATGTAACAGATACATCACTCTCATGCAAAATCGAAAATACCTATGTTATAATAGCCTATTAAATCTGACTAATGAAACTAGGCGCTCACTACGAGGAAAAAGGAACCTAAGCATGCGCTCAGAGAGGTGATAATAACGTTGCCAGTCATGTGCATTCATGCGGAACTAAATGCAGGGGTTGCATAAAGATTGTAATGTAAATGATAGACTTGTCTGAGCGCATACACTGTCGACGATACACTTATTGCGTAACCTCGAGAGAGTGACGGAGCATCGCATATGTAAACTTATTGTTACTTACTTACTCTTAAAGTAGGTCAACTAAAGCTACGCTAAACTGTTTACGAATGTCATATTAAATATATAAAATTGTAGATATTTCTAGTTTTATTTTAAAAAGTTATTGATGTCGTTTTAATAATTAAAGGGTTTTAATATATTTTATATTTACGTAATAATCGCCTGGGCACACTTAACGATGGCACCCGGTATAAAAAAATATTTCATATCTATGGTTCAGTTCTACATGGAACCATATACATCATTGCACTGCATTGTTAACTTGGTGGCACTACACCCCCTCTTAGTCATTGCGAAATTCACTAGTGCCAAATACATTTGTCTAGTCGTATGTTCCCCTCTGGCCTTTTTATTTTTTTACACTGCAGTTACCTTCAAATGTTCTGCAGTGCTGTTAAAAGTTGGGGAAATAATAAATATAAATACAACTGGTTTTTATTTACAAACTTTCCGGTTGAGAATCGAAAATATGTTTATAATTATCACTGTATGTATTTAAACATGTTACTGTACCACATAACAAATAGAAAAGTAAGATAACTTAAAAATATTACATATGGGTAAACTTGGAGAACTGGGAGGATTGTTATTATTAAAAAGAATGAAAGCTATATACTCAATTATCATACAAAGTAAATTACTTATATATATATTATTATGATTTTTTTAACTGGGGCTATATACGTAGGGACATTCGAACCATATGAGATACAGGAAAACTCCCTTAGGAACCATAAGGGGGTCTACCACAACCTCCTAAAACAATATTTCTTTAACCTTATATTGACTTTTCGTACCATAACGCGCTTAAAGTAAGCTTAATGTAATGTTAAAACTATGATGTTTTATTGGCAGCTTTGTGACTATTCATTCACTCAGTTCGTACTATGACGCGACTTTAACATTAAAGAATATTGCACTTATGTCAAATTTAGCAATCTTAAAATAGTTACATGGATGCAATGCAACAATATTATTTTCAGTTTTATTATCTTAGTATTGATTTGTAATGATTAAACGTTAAGTTGAACTTATTTATTTACATATATCTCTTCAATGTTTTGTTTATTTTTAATTTATTAGCACATAGTAAATATTTTTTGATTTTGATTTGATTTTTCGTTAAATAAAAATACGCGGTGTTTATTTCGTAAAATTATAACAGCGCCATCTATATGTCACTTGGCGAAACTAACAGTTGACGCTAGACTATATTTCCGAATTCACAACGTGATTATAAAGACTAAGCTGGTTTTATTAATCTTTCGTCATGAAATAAATAAAACAAGCTGGAATAGTTATTGAAAACAACGTAATTTTAATAGATTTCATTATTACATACTTTTCTTTTTTAACAGTCAAAATTCTCTGCAAGTAAATAACATTAAGTACTTAAACATTATACTACGATAAGACGATTCGGAACATCAAAAAGAAAGAGATGGCATTATATAGTTCATATAGCGTTATTTCTTTCCTATTTTTAGTATGAAATAGACAATATTGGGAAATCATTCGTTCTTTCAATCACTTTTACAATAATATATTACTTGGTAGACAGGTTCGTCATGGTACGAATATGAGTAATATTGTAATAAGCTTACTTTAAGCTTACATTGAAATAAAATTGCTTTTGGAAAGGTCCAGGCCAACTGGTCTTTTTTTGTAAAAACAAATTTAACATAGTCAATTTTTCGGTCAAGCGTGTGTTCTACATAAAATCGAATAATATTGTCAATTTTTGATATGATCGATTCAATTTCTTCTTGGGATCATTTCATTGTATCGAAAGAAAAAATCGGACCGCAGAATTTGATCAAAATTAATAATGTTTTTTTTTTTCAATACACTGTACTAAGTTATTCATAGTCCCAGTACACAATAATTTTATATTATGTTTATGAAAAAGAAAACAAATTCGGCCGACAGTAAAATTTATATTTAACTGCCTCCGTGGCCTAACGGTTACCACGCCGGACTGCCACGCAGAGGTCCCAGGTTCGATTCCCGGGCCGGGAGAAATATTTGTATGACCTACATTTATTTCTCTCGTGAGTTTGGGTGTAATTTGTGGTTGTGTATGTGTGTGTCCATGGCACCCGCGACACAGGGTTTCTCTAGTGCGGGGTTATGTTGAGTGTGTGTTATGTTGAGTGTGTGCGTTATTCATAAACGAAATTTCTCTAACATCTGTTTTTTAGTTCATGATGTTTTTGAATTTGATGTTATTGGTACATCCTGTCTTGGTACATAAATTTGTGTTTTCGTATAGTAAACGACTTACAAGTATATAATAAAAAAATCTCAATTTATTTCACATGCATTAAAAAATCTAACATTGTATGTACCAAGCACCTGCCACTACCTGGTCATAAATCAAAATAAAGGTGAAATTACATTAATAATAAAAATATGTTAACTTAATAATTGTTTTAACCTGTATGTTTATTTGCAGGCCTCAGAAAAGTATACCCCTACTACTTCACATTCACCACCTTCACAAAAGGGCGGTGGGTTGGTGAACGCATCCTCGACGTGTTCGCCAGAGAGTTCAGGGCTCATCCTGCCGCAGAATACGAAAGATGCATCAGAGCTGGGACCCTGACAGTGAACTATGAAAGAGTAGACCCTGACTACAGGCTAAAACATAACGACCTCCTTGCGAACGTAGTCCATAGGTATAGTTTTGTTTTTCAATAAAAAAAAATGTAGATAGCTTTAAGTTGAGACATTTTGACGCACTTGTATTGAATAGCACACTGTATACTCGTAATTTGTAATTTTTTACACAATACGAATTATTTAACACATAAGTACATCTACCATAAAATTTACACAAAGCCTTAAAGTTTACATTTATACACGTTGCATATAACATTTATGTAAATATTGTAACAATGTCTCTTCTTTCTTTCATTTATTTATGATGTAATAATAAAATAGTATGGAGTGGTTAAATTTATAGATTTTACTTCACATTACTAACCTTAAAATGTATTTATTTCGAGAGTGCTTTCGTGTTTCTTTCTTATTTATTTTATTTAACACTTTATAAAAACTTTTACTTCTCTATTGGTAAGAATTATGTTCAGAAACACTTACGCACACTTGTATTAAACTTAAATACGTCTTAATCGAATCCTTAAATCGTTGACCACCTTTTAAGGAGAGGCCGTAGGTACAGATCCTGACTTCAAACTCGGGGCGCGTTAGCACGCTGCACCCCATTCGTATCCGTTCCGAATCCGAGATTATAAAAATCTAGGAAAATCCGACCCGCTTCGGATGTCGCTTGTGCACTAAGTCCGATTCCAATCACCTAGAGATGAAATGACCTCTGACATATTTCAGACCGTCATTCTGCTATCCGTTAACCAAAACGCGGCTACGTGATAAAATATGTTTCACCTAACTACGTCGGAAAGGCTTTCTTTCTCATTAGAAATCAGTGCGCAAGAGCGTTTTTTGCACGCTAACGTGCATCAAACTTTTCCTTTCGATTAAAAAAAAGATAATGACACGTTCAACTACGCGATTTGTCGTACATTACCTACTTATGTACCTATGTAATATAAATCCATTGGCATATTTTATACTTATTATGGTTGACATTACATTGACAATGTTAACTACTTGTGTTTATGAAATTATTTAAATTCGTGAAAGAATTCTTAATAACACAAAGTAAAAGTACAAGCAAGAATAAAAATTGATGAGGTGTAAATTCAGAAAGCATCCGAAGATAAACTTTTTCTTTTAATAAAAAAAAACTGATGATTTAAAGTTGAACTGTTTATGGCTCTGGACCTTTTGGAGGGAAAACTGTCGTTTTTATTTTGACTTTCAATTATTTTGTGAAATCTAGTTTAAAGTGGAATAGGATAGTGCTATTGTGCCTTAATCGAAGATTAAAACGCGAAATTATACGAATCTCGAACTAAAATACCCGTATCGGCCCGTTTTAAGGAATCCCGAGTCAATCCAAGCACGCCGCCTCAAATTGCCTATCCTCTTTGTGGCGGCCATATTTACAGAGACATAATTAAACTTCATGTTTAGGCTGATGGCTTTGCCAAAGCCTTAATAAATTTAAAAAAATTGAACTGTTTATCGTTTTTTTGTGAGGTGAAAAATTGTGTTTCGTTCGGCAGCAAAATTGTTTTGCGTCTAGTGCCTTGAAAGCCTCGCTACGCCCAGGAATCTACTTTTGAACCACGAGCTTCACTCGTGGTTGAATCTTAGCTCCTTCGCTTGCTCAGGTTTCAATACAAGCGCTCGCGTCAAAGAACAACTGTGCGGCCTTGCATAATAAATAACTATTTTTGAGATATAATAAAAAATTACAGTTTCAGACTTACAATAATAACGCATAGAAACCTAGCCCGCACACGCTAAGTGAGGCAAATTGAAGCTCTCCCAAGGGGCCTACACGAGCGGGCGGGCCTTCTGTGCTCAAGGTCAACTTGCACCGCGAACAGCTCAAAAATTTTAGCTAAAAATGACAAAATGTGCGGTAAATGAGTGTAAAAATACGTCAGACAAACATAAAATAGATACTAACATCACATTCCACAAGGAAGTAACGCGTTTCAACTTGTATTTTTATATAAATATTCACTAAAACCGAAAATTAACCTACCACTAAAACTAGCCTACATGAATTTGATTTTTGCCTCACTTGTGACAGTACGTTTGATATGAAACTATCATTCTATGCGTTATTATTCTAAGGTTTCAGAATACTGAAATTGTTAAATGACATTTCAGTTATGTTATCTTATGTTCCCATAACACGTTAACTAATTTTAATTGTTTTTAAAGAGAATTTTGTGCTCTATGTTTTGCTGTTTAAAAAGGGATATTTGGGCATTTGTCATTTAGCCGCATTTTAGTTAGTATACGGCATTGTGTACATTTCTCGGATTCGGAACCTGGTGGTCTACTCTCGATTTCCGTCCGAAACAATTACTGTCAAATAAGTAATATTCGACAAAATTAAAAGACAAGTATCAAATATGAAGCTTCATTCGCATCACGCGTCTTTTCATTTGGTCAAGTATTGCTTATTTGGCAGTAATTGTTTCGGACGGATGTCGGACGGAGATCGAGAGTAGACCCCCTGATACGAATCGGACGTAGTGCGCGAACGGAATTTATGTGCGATATTTTATTTTATATTTTACCACAAGGTTTACAGTAAAGGAAAACATAGTGATGAAACCTATCGAAGAAGGTTCACAACCCTCGCAAAACGCTTGATATCCCCAACCCACATTGGGCCAGCGTGGCGGACTATGGCCTAAACTCTCCCCTTGGGGGTAGACCCGTGGCCAACACTGGGACGTATAAATAGGTTGATGATGAACACAATGTACTAAGAGTGTCTTGTGCATTAGAAGCATTGGTTTAAGATACATTTTAGTGCAAGCGGAAATTAATACCTCGTGCATAATAAGTTAAATTTGTTAAGTACACATACACATACACATTATTTGAATTGCTATTTTGTATTCATATTTGCAACGCTAACATGAACTAAAGGAGCAACTTTTATTACAACAGAAATTGACTTCTACGACTTTTTCACAATTTATATCAAGTTTTCGATCCCGAACAGCCAGTCGTATAAAAATCGAAACGTGACCTACCAAAGTTCTATTTTACTTTTTTCCAAAAACTATTTAACCCGTTCATGGACAGTACTTAAAATGGTACCGCACACAAAAATTTTTTGCCGGTACCTCTCCGCGGATCCGCTTGGAGGATTTTTCCACGAAAAAAAAAAGGGAAGTACTGCCTGCCACCTTACCTATTTCTGCCGCCAAGCAGTAATATATAATGGTATAAGTTCTGAGTGTCACCGCAACTGTTATGGACTAGCCTCTCGCTTACCACCATGTGCACGACTTGTTCGTCCTATCTATTGGTATAATAAAATACAACATATTTTATCTGTACGTTCTTGATACTTCGATGTGGAGAAGCAGTAGGTGGTACCTACACAGAAGGCATTTGGGAATCGCGCGCTGAATCTCGTAATTGGTTTTTTGAGATCCTTACAGCGAAGCCAGGTACCCCGTATATACTATCATATTCTTATATTCAATTTTACGGTAAATGCCGTTACAGTTCATGAACGAGTTAAATATCTAAAATGTCCACCCTGTGAGAGCACCTAAACGTAATAACCCTAAACCAACAATGTGGCGTCTGCTCAACATATCTAAGCTTCTTTGTAAGGTCCCTGTATATAGTTTTAATATAATAATGAAAAGCACCGAATGAGCATGCATCCTTTATTTACCTACATTAAATCCCCACCATAGCGACCAACGAAGTTCTAATACGAAAATAATATTGTAAACAAAATTTATGTAAGTGTAAACAAACTACCTACAATGACCATTTTGCATATTGTAACTTTAGTCACGCATATTCATTCGTTGTTTTCTTCCTGTCTAATCGGTATACCATTCACCTGTATAAGCTAGAACAGACTCTGAGCAATCCAATTTACCTAACCTACTATAAATTCCTTTGTAATGTCTTGTACGATAACATATTCTTCAAATTAACATTAAAAAAATGGAATAGATTCCACACCTCTCACTAATGTAATCGAGTATTGAGGAACAGATTGTACAGTACACGATCCATCGACGATTTTGCTCAGCGTCTGGTATTTCGGTGAGCCCGTTAGCCTGACGTGTGTATCGTTGCAGGCACGAAGTACCGGTGACCAGCCAACCTATCACCCTCGTTCATATCGACGAGGACATTGTGGTTGTCAACAAACCAGCCTCTATTCCCGTAAGTGGCAATTGAGACAGCCATGTTATGTGTCGCTTCTGTCATTCTTATATTCTATGTAACTTTTGTATTTCTTGTAACACATATATGTTTTTTAACATCACTATGCATGCTTTGGTGTCACGTCATAGTTAGAATAAATGTAACGTATTTAGTAGCAGATATTTTGTAGCGGTGGTCTTCGAACGTAAGTAGTACTTTTTAATTAAATTTACCTATACATATATAAAATATTATATGAAAATTATCATCAGATTTAAAAGAGCTTCGAATACGTTTTGTGGATTTAATGACGCAAAATCTAAAACAATACCAAACAAGGTGACGCTATAAATTATTTTATTCGCAAAATACAAACGTGTCTGCCACAGGCAAAATCCGCTTTCATCTAAAAGCAAATTCCTTTGCCGTTTACGCAAAACAGCCACGGAATACTCTGAAGCTCGGTGATGGAGGACTTCTAATACTGCGAAGCCACTCTCATATCAGCTTTTATTATAAACACAGAAATCTCTTTGAGGAGTGAGAATTTGTTTAGAATTTGAGTCAAAATTTACTGCTCCTTTATACACAGTGAAAATATTTGAACAAAATATTAGGCTACCTTTTGTCACAAAAATAACCTTAAAGATGGTTAAATTTAATTTGAAACCATTACCAAGAGCTTTTCGATGAAGGAAAACCGTAACCCTCGCCTGAGGGGAGACCCGTGCCTAATAGATGGGTTGATATATTTTCTTTAATTTCTACAAACTTTTTCTGAATCATATTTGGTTCGGAAAAACCAACTACTTTTTGTTTGTTCAGTGGGCGCTCCTTTAAGAGATATTATTTATTTATAGTTCAATAGCTTTATAAAACAGGAATTGTATGAAGTAGGCATCGGTGCTGTTTTGCATGTAAAGCAGGCTCACCCGGCGGCAAAACTGGCATTTTTGGTTCAAATCTAATATTCAGACGAGAGCAATGTATATAAAATTGATTTTTGATTACTTATAGTAAGGATTTTCTTACATAAAATCTAATTGTCATTATAGCATTTAATTTTTCACTTAAATATAGGAGTTCAAAATGTCCTTATTGATTTTAGTTTAAAAATGTGCTTGTCAAATTGTACCCTCAATGTTATTTAAATAATTTAATAAATCACATTTTTAGAAAAAAATACGAAATGAATAAAAATAAGTGCGACATAAAATTTATATGATATTGTTTTTCATGTCATATATGCCAAATACGTTACGTTTTTAATCCTATTTTGTAATTTTCCCAAAAATTACATTTGGATTTACGTCACTATTATTATTAATGGTGCGAAATATCTACTATATCAACTTCGACAGCAATGAGGACAAATGGATCATTAATTACATTCATATTCAGACATTTATTCAATACGAAATTGCTCGCATTATATCAAAAATAGCACAAAGTTAAGTTAACCGTACCACATACAAAGGATAATTAACCCTTTGCCGATTACGCTTCGTAAAGCATAAATTTAAATTTAAATTAATCCAAAATGTTCCGCAGCAATTCGTTATTTATCATTTAAATTATTTGAAAAAATTCAATCAATTTGATCAAAAGAATTAATTCGACGATGACTTCATCATTTTCTGTTTCTGCGTTTATTACAAAATTACGTTATAATGTGTTTTAGGGTTAAATTGTAAAATAATCGATTTGAACATTTATGAAAATTACATTACTTATCACTTGTAAAATACCTATTTCCTTGATTTGTTTATTTCAATTATTATACTTGAATAATCCTTAATTTTTCGCTTCAACACTACGTTGACTTTTGTATGCTACTGATAACGTGTAAATACTAAAATCATCTAATAGTGGTCGTAGGTTTACAGTTCCAATTTAAAGAAACTAGTTAATATTTACATATTTCTGTTTACACAGTTCCCAATTTTAATAATAATGTATATTTATACAGAATCCTTCAAAGTCGGTAAATCCTTGACTTTTACCGTCGAAAGCCATTTGATGGACTGCGTCCAATTACATTGATTGATGCAATGCCCTGATGGAGGCCTCAGGCTGGAGTGACCGGATGGCAAAGTGATATATCGCACTCATTTGTCTAAAAAAACCCCAACCCATTTCTGTTGAAAATGCAGTTATTGCTTTTTACAATGCACGCAAGTGCTTTATTATTTATTTTGCTTGATTCTGTGCAATTTCAATCAGCATATTATGACTCTAAGCGAACATTACTAACACTAATACTTGTACAATATTGTAAACAGACTATTTTTGTAATAATAAGTTAGACCATTCTTAATTAAATTTATTTCTTTGCTTTTTTTTACTTAAACGGCATGTACCATAATCACTTAAAATTTTTCTTTACACAAACTACATTTGAAACACAGTACACACATGCAGCGCACAACAGATAAATCTACTTAATAAGTTAGTTTACCACACTACATTACAAAAAGTCCTAAGCTATACAACATATTAACCATGTCTCTTATATTAAATCCTTAATAAAATACGACCCTGACAAAAACGCGGCTGAACCGCAAGACCCTCGAGACAAATGTATACCTACATTACTTGTTTAATATATTTTCCGTGTTACAATAAAAGAAATGTTATTACTCAGAGTTAGGCCCATTATCCACCAAAGGAGAAGATCTGTGTTTCAACAATCAGTTTCGTTATTTTCGCTAAGCGACGTGGAGATTTCGAAACGGCGAAATACTATTATGAATCTTATACTCGGGATAGAACTTTTGTTGTTAAGATTGTTTTTAGAAGTTATCCACTTTCCATACAAGTTATTCAGTCTGCTGTAGCTTGGTATGTATTAAAAATATCCTATAGCAACAATTAACAAGAACCTCGTATCTCATGTTTCAAAACCGCAATCTTGCTGTTTGTATAGCAAATACAGATGATCACAAGCTACATAGAACATAACAATATATACCATACTATAACACAATTAACAAAATACTTAAAACAAAAATAAATGTGAGTAACCATACACTTCATAGACGTAGTATGTACGCTTTACCTCACCAAGATTTCACTATTCAGAAATCTCAAAAGCGCAAACGCAACATCGTATTATTTTGTCCGTTGTAAAAGGTATTTTGATGTACGAGCAAGTCTTCGAGCATGATTTTAAATTATGTTAACTAAAAACCTTCTTAAAAATATTAGATTCATATTAAATTAAATAGTATTGCAGTAATATTAAATCCTGTTGGGTTGAAGTTATTAATTTACCAGATCCAATGGCGTTGAAATGATCAATTTACAAAATCCTGTCGGTTTATCGTTATTAATTTACAAAATTCTGTCGGGTTCAAGTTACTGATTTACAAGATCCTATCGAACTGTCGTTATTTTTACAAAATCTTGTCGGAATTGAAGGCATTGATGTAGAAGATCTTGTGGGGTTGAAGCATTGACTTACAATTATATGGACGTCGGGTCCGCGCTTAAAAGTGTCCGAACTTATAGGGCGTTAAAATCGTATACAGAGCGTCATTCACGCTTTAGTCTTCGTTTGTTCGACTGACAGCGAAGCTAGCAAAATTAGACAGTACTGCGATGACATTACAATTTAAAATTCAACGTTTTAGCTTTTTCATATTCCTTTACATGTCACTACGTTTAAATAGGTTGACTTGGGACATTTTGTTTGTGGTTTTTGTATTAGACCCGTCGTCCATTTATTTGTAAGTCAATGGGTTGAAGTTATTAATTTACAAGATCCTGTCGAGTTATAGTTCTTAATTTACATGATCAATAAACAAGTAAACGTTAATAAAAAACTTTATTTATTCAACAATTTCTAAATATAACTCTATTTGTAGATTATGCTGCGTTGCTAAATATTTTGATCCGGCACTTGATTTCTTTATCATATAAAAATTATAAGGAATATAGTACCATCATTATTTCTATACGTGTTGCTTTAGACGTATCTTAGTTAACGCCTTTCGCTTTAAAAAAATACCTATCAGGCAGCTCTATTCGAACTAATGCTCATAGCTTTGCTCGCAGATCGAGCCTTTTTTTACTTTTTGCCAAAAATACCTACCCAATAAGACACGTCGTTTCACTTAAAAGCTCGCTTTATACGCTTTGTTACTGTGTACTAATTTCCAACATTGTTTACAAAATTTAACTTACTTTGTAAATTCTACAGCATGTTATGTAAAATGTATAAAAGTGTAAATACATTTTATGTTAATTGTAATCAAATTTATAGCAATTGTAACTTTAAACGCCCAGTTACTCGAGGCGAACCACCTTCATGTACAAAAATGGCGAACTTGCAACAATATTTAAATTTCTCAGAATAAAACAACCGCGCGGTCGCCGCGCGGCCGCCGCGTGGACCGAATTCTAGCCAGCCTCACCCGCGTGGCCGGGCCGACTATTTAAGTTAAACCATAAAACCTAAATAAACAGAGCATATTTTGCCATGACAGAAGCACGCGGTCACCCTAAGGGCGCATTTATTCAACACGAATTTCACTCAAGCTCGACAAAAATCGTCCCGGGCACGCGGGCGAGACTGGCTTGATTTTGGCCAACGTGGCAGCTGCGCGGCGAATGCGCGGTTGTAATATTCAGAGGAATTTAAATGTAATTCAAATTCGTTATTAATGCACATGAAGGCGTTATAACTGGGTGCTTAAGCTTCATTATACGTGTCTTATTGGATGGTTGTAATGCTGACATCATGTAAAAGAGGCATAAATGTTTCCGTGGTGGGCCAGGCACGAGACGCCAGTGCTCGCTAGTCCCTTGCGCATCATACACGTGGATGAGGAGCTTCTCGTGCTAGACAAGCCTTGCTCGCTACCGGTGAGTCGAAAGTCAAGAGTTGGGACCTTGTGACGTCATGTGATGTTGGACTCTACGGGTTGAACTTGGACTTAGAAATACTATTTAAGATATAAAATTAGATAACACTCATTCGACAGTAATTGCAATAGGGTAGTTCTGATTTAAATAAATAAAATAAAAATCATTTATGCAGACAATTTACGAACTATCTATCTGTTCTACCGTTAGGTAGTACAAAAGTTACAGAATACAAAGAAATTAATCTCAGTACAGTAAAAACCGACCTCAAAATCATCCATCACCTAGTTTGCCACCCTTAGAGGTGGAATATTTTTTTCAAATTTAAATGGGTCATTTCTGAGGTATCCTCTTTACAATAAAAAAAGAATCATCAAAATCGGATCGCGAATACCGGAGTTATCACGTAACATACATACAAAAACAAAGTCGAATTGACAACTCCTCCTTTTTGAAGTCGGTTAATAAAATGAATTAATGAAATGGCTACCTGGTACCTGCTAATTTTACCGAATCCCAGGACGTGGAGTTCGGTGAACCTTGCAAGCAGATCGCAATTCCACCGATCCCCTATTATTTTAAGAACTCTGTTTGAGCTCTCTCGCACTTTGCGCAGGCAGGATGCTACCTTTTTTCGCATTATTTAATCGACATAACTATATGTTGATATGAATCCTTTTTTGTGGTTATAAAGGTGCCTGCACAATTTCTCGATTTTATTGCGAGAGACGATTGACATTGCGTTTTTTGTCGATCGACACGTATGATGAGACAATCCATATCATATTTATTGTAGATCGACACGTAGACTGAGCTTAGTAGCAGTAGAGTTCCTTGTGAAAGAGTACGTCCAGGGAAGTACTGCCACCTTACCTATTTCTGCCGCCAAGCACTAATGTTAGCATTACTGCGCTCCGGTTTTGAAGGGTAAGGGTGCTGGTGAAATTACATGCACATGGGACTTGTCAACTTATATCTCAGGGTGACGGGCGCAGTGGCAGTGCCCCTCAGATCTTTGCAATTTAAAGCTTTGAGTGGCACTGCAACTGTTATAGACAGGCGTGTAGCTCACCATCAGGCGCACGACTTATTCGTCCCGTCATTTGATATTATAAAAAAAAAGATCCAAAAAAATAGTTTGTTCCGAACATGAACTAGTTTCACATTCTGTGAATTTACTTACAATTGCATTTTGATTTTCGTCCTATTTAACATGAGTAACAGTTTAAAAAAATTAAAAATTGTTCGAAAAAAAATACAAGCACGTACAAAATACGATAACTAAACAAGAAGTAAATAAAACAAAAACGATAGTAATTGATGAGGTTTTAGTAAAAGAAATATATTATCGCAACACTCGAGGAAACGGCTATAATGTATTCTTGGGTAGTGAATAGTGGGATGTAAACACGTTCTGTAGGCGTCCTCGTTTACTATATTAATGAAAGTCATTCATATAACAATCGTCGTTAAGTGGATGTATACCTCATTGTATAAACTGCCACGAGTAAGGGGTCGATATATTTGCAAATAATAAGGACTTATTCTCCTCATACATCAGGAGGCTTATTCAGATCCTATTTTGTTTATATACCTTCTTCTAAAAGGGTGTTCAATTTGTAGTTTTGCCATTTCGTATTAAAATGAATCATATGCGCATTATCATTACGAAATCTGAATTTACATCACTACAATATTAAATGTGGAACGAAATAGGCGAAGTTTGTTTACCTAAACTTTAAGATAGTTATACACATAGTGTGGATAATACCTCCCTCTGAAATCCTGTATTTATAGTATTTTTAGGAAATGAAACTATTTTATCGGATCGGAAATTTTTTTTTATAGTTTAACTAGCAAGTAGTTGACTACGGTAGATTATTTAGAAGATCTCAAATCTCAAATAACAAATACATTGATTTTTTTTATATCATGATGTATTTATTTGTGAAAATCGTGGTAGTAAAACATCATCATATTCAATAAAACCAATATTATGATAAATACAGCGACATCTTTCGTCAGACTCTGGTAGCTGTAAAGGTACCGGCTGAGCGAAGAGCTTCATGAGTCTCTCACAGGTGTTGTTTATGGTGATAAAAGTCGAAAATATCAATACAAAAGATCTGTAACAAACACATGGAAGTATCTATAGCTCAGTAAATGGAACGGTAGCACTAGACACATAGAAACAGATTCGAGTCCTATCAGATCGAAATAATTTTTCTTCGTCTTCGATTTTTATATTAATTATAAAAAGAAATATACACCATTTTACATCCGAATAAATAATTAAATTTCCAATATGTAGCAATTGCTAAGAATTCGATGTATGGATAATTTTCAGGTAAGTTTTTTGTACTCAATTTTGGTGACAATTTATTTTTATTTAAATATTTATAGAATATTATCATGAAGTATTATTTAATATTCGAGTGTGGTAACCTGAAATATTCTTTAATATTTGACGACGATATATTCGATTAATGAAATAATAAAAATTGCCACCAAAATTGAGTACAAATAACTTACCTAAAAATTACTGGTATAAGTATTTTGTTTTGATTTTTTAACGTTTATTTTTAATTATTCGTGGATTTCAGACGGTGGAACCATTTACGCTACATATATTGTACTCTATTAATAACAAAAGCACGAGAGTTATACACAGTTATACACAAGAAAATAAATAAATCAACCTGTTATCGCACCAATTCTCAAGTCTAAAGTTCTCCGTTAGGGTCTGACAGAAGATTGTGATCACAAAACTTTAGAGACTGCAAAATATCCCGGACAGATCTGGGAATGTACGGTCTGTTGAAAATCCCAAATTCCACATGGAAGTGGCTCAGAACTTGGTTTGCAAACCTTTACCGTTTCACCGTCTTACGTTTTTTTGAACCGATGCCACGTAATAGAACTTACGATTCTCGCTCCAAATAACTGATAAATTCATATTCCACGAAACTCCTCCAGGGAAAAGTACATCGTATCTTCTATGACTAATGTGTCATAACTGACATAAGGCATAATTTTCAGGGTTCGGTTTAACAATTCACATCTTGAGCTGGTTTGTGTCAGTATTTGTTTTGTTAATAATGAGTCATATTCATAGACGATAAATAAAAACTTTAAGGTTAATAAAAACTTTTTTCGGAATTAAAATTATTTTTTAATTTAGAACTCCTTACTAAGCAACAGATTTTTTTTAATTTAGTGTGAAAATAATAATATGCAATTTTTTTTAAGATGGCGAAAACGGATTTTTGTGTGTTCCGTTTCTCATCTGCAGTCATAACGTCGAAACTTGTCGAACGATACGTACTATACTGACCTCTCTTTTTCACCAGAATGAGGAAATGGTGTTGAAATAGAGACTTATTTTTCCGTTTGACAAAAATATTTTTTAATGCGTCGAAGCAGTTGAGATATATCTGGCCAAGGTGTATAGAGTTAAAAATAAACCATAACTCAAAAAAGTTTTTTTTCTTCTCAAAGTCACGGACTTATCAAACCCTCGTATAATAAACTGGATGCATAAATATCTATCGGAATATGTTGTCCAAATTTGAATGAGACCAGTACAGAGGTACCTCCTTTTAACAAAAAAAGAATCATTGAAATCAGTTCGCAAATGTCGGAGAAAACAAACACAAACACCAAAAAAAATACAATCTCAATATAGAACCTCCAAATTCGTTTAAAAATAGGCATTACACAACGATGAGTGGTTTTAAATTATACCTTAATACCCATTGACTTACAATTATATGGACGTCGGGTCCGCGCTAAAAAGTGTCCGCACTTGTAAGGCGCTAAAATCGTATACAGAGCGCGACACTCCGCTTTAGTCTTCATTTGTTCTACTGACAGCGCGATACTGCGATGACATTACAATTTAAATTTCGAATAGGTAGACTTGGGACATTTTTTCGTGGTTTTTGTATTAGACCCGTCGTCCATTTATTTGTAAGTCAATGTTAATACCGCACAAACTTTGTGGCCAAGTCTATAAAATAAAACAATGTTTTCCGAATTAGTAACTTAAAGATCACGTACTTGAATTGAGTGTACAATACTGAAAGGAAATTAATTTTGAAAAGCAATTCTTTATCAATTTCATTTGGAATTGAAAAGATATTTTTGAGGAAATGTAATAAATAATACTTTGTTGTGAATTTGTATCTCAGTCTCGTTTGGAGCGAGATTGGCACCGCATAATGAAATAGGCATATTTCCGTAATGTTTTTGGTCATCTTTTGCATGTTTAGTTATTTTCGTAGATAAGCAAAAAATTATTTGTATTTACCATTCTCTAAAAGCTTCTTCTTTTTTAGAACAATAAGAAGAAAAGTGGTAATTGGTAAACAACAATATCATTGTGTATTTAACTCATGCTTGCTTTGCACTACCATAGATAGCTTGAATTCACAATGTACTAACTAATATTTAAGGTACGTTTAGTCACAAGACAAGTGTGATAACTCCATACAAAAATAGCAGCGCGTTTGTACTACATGTGCACGATCGCCGAGCGCCATATACGCGCGTGAGGCAGCCTGCGTGCTGTATACTGGACATTCGGCACTAATCAGCATTCTTTTTTTTCTGTCGCCTGTCCATAACAATTGCAATGCCACTCGGAGCTTTCAAATCGCAAAGATTTGAGGGGCGCTGCCACTGCGCCTGTTACCTTGAGACATAAGTTGACAAGTCCCATGTGCCGTATAATTTCACCAGCACACTTACCCTTCAAAACCGGAACACAGTAATGGTGACATTACTGCTTGGCGGCAGAAATAGGTAAGGTGGCAGTACTTCCCTGGACGAACTCTTTCACAAGGAGCTCTACTGCTCGAAAGACGCTAGTGTGGGAGATGTGTTACATTGCAAGATTATTCGAATGTGTACGTCCATACACGACACGCGGCGAGCTCGCACATATACAAACTACATTGCAATTTTGTATGGAGTTACTATACTGTGTTCATTTAGAAATAAATTAAAGAAATAAACATTTCTTAAGCTCTTTACCTAATTCTTTTTAGTGTTTCATTCTTTTTGTAACAAAAAAGAAACATGTTTTTATAATGAATTGTTATACAAAACTTATTTTGTAATATTGTTAAATACAGTGTTTGTACAGCTAGCAAAAGGCAGCATAATAACAAAAAATAACTTCGCACAAGATGTAACAAATAGCATTAATATTGTACTGTTATTTGTTTAGGTTCACCCGTGCGGTAGATACCGTCACAACACGGTCGTTTTCATCCTGGCTAAGGAGTACAATTTGAAAAACTTGAGGACCATCCACCGGCTTGACAGGCTAACGTCAGGTGAGTGATGACCCTTATTTTTTTTATGTAATAAAATGCTTATACTGTACTTTGATGTTATATCTGATAATAATTCTAGAGTCGGCGGAATAAATGAATACATGTACTGGTTACAGCACACAAGTCAAATTCATTTGTTATAAATTTCGAACTCTATTCTAGAGGTTATTTAATTTCCAATACAAAAAAATATATAATTATATATTAGCAAATGAAGCACTTTTTTGGCTTATGTGCTTTAGACCCTAGATTTTTGATGTAATGTAGAATCAAGCATTAAAAAAGATGACCGTTTAATGTTTTTTGCCTGCGCTTTTGCAAATTTCAAATGATCATTTGAATACATGCCATTTCACAAAAAATAATTTAATTTAATGGTGGTGAAACATCCTAATATTCAATAAAAAACTTAATTATAACGATTTTGTTTTGGTGTTTTTACCTTTTATTTTCAAACACTCCGGGATTTCAGAGGGAGGTGTTATGTATACTCTATGAATATTACTCGAAATTTTGGTAAATATTGCCTCAGCCCATTCCGTTCTTTAAACATGATTGTGAGGATGACACCGCGTATCATTTCCGTTGAAACTAGCTGTTATGCATATGAAAACGGGTCAAAGATCTCTTCCGCAAAGTGACACAAATGTGAACCCAGCCATAAGAAACGAATGTCATGACGTCACGTTCCAAAGTTGATGGCGTAACTTTTTAGTATTCATGTTGTCCTTTAGCTTAAGCGATGTTCTTGTCGGATACATTAAACTTGCACCGTGTTGTCGTCATTTTTAAGTATTAATTTTTGAGTTATAAGCATTGACTTACAAATAAATGGACGACGGGTCTAATACAAAAACCACGAAAAAAATGTCCCAAGTCAACCAATTCGAAATTTAAATTGTAATGTCATCGCAGTATCGCGCTGTCAGTAGAACAAATGAAGACTAAAGCGGAGTGTCGCGCTCTGTATACGATTTTAGCGCCTTACAAGTGCGGACACTTTTTAGCGCGGACCCGACGTCCATATAATTGTAAATCAATGGTTATAAGTTATATTTTTAATTAATCGACTTCAAAAAAGGAGGAGGTTCTCAATTCGACTGTATGTTCTTTTTTTTGTATGTATGTTACGCGCTAACTCCGGTATTTGTGAACCGATTTTCATGATTCTTTTTTAATTGGAAAGGAGGTACTTCCATAGTAGTCCCATTTCATTTTGAAAAAAATCATCTACCTCGAAGGGTGGCTGTTCTCGCATGAAGATTCATTTTTATAAATAGCGCCTAAATTTTATTTATTGTAATGGTTGATTTTGCTATTTCTCCAATCCAAGGCGTTTTTCTCTCCATATATTATACTTTGAGTAGTGAGAACCGATTTTTGTTATCTTCAGTGTCAAGTCCTGTATAGTGGTGAATTTAAGGATATTTCAATAAAACTTAGCAAATAGACGTAATTCAACGTACTTTTGAGGTCGGTTTTTTATAACTCTGTACTGAGATTATAATTATTAAGCTATGGAACGATTACGTATTAAATATAATGATTGAATACGTGTAGTGCTTCTATTTTCTCAATGTCCATGGGCAAACTTCGTGTTTCTTCTGTCGTCGGGTTTTTGTCCAGTTGCCCTTTGCCTTTCTAAGTTTGAAGTATATAGAGTTGCTATTACATTTTTAGTTTATCATTATACAATGGGAGGAAAGCCGCTAAAGTCACACGCACGACAGATAATTTTCAGCGTGTACTTGTATTTTTTACAACAAGCCGATATGTTCAAGAAAAACCACGATGGTTATTTTTTTAAAATCAAAACACGTGTTTCTGTAGCTTTTACAAATTTTAACCACAGTTTACTGTACATGGACAATTTTATAATAAATACTTATTCGGAAAAGTGATTATTCCATCCATGGTGAACATATTGACATAGCTATGTCAGATGAAGAAATGCATTCAGATATGGACGGAATTGAAATGATTAACAACCGGAGAAATATTCATTTTTAGTTTTGTATAACTAATTAGTTACATAAGTTAGTTATATAGTTATATAAAAATATAACTAGTTAGTTATATAAAACTAAAAATGAATATTTTTCTGAGTTTAGAAGCACACTTTAATTACTTCATATTTTTGTTAACTTGCTTATTGACATAAATGTTATTAAAAATGGAGAAATAGTTTTACAATTCTATATAGTTCACAGGGAAAACAAAACAACAATAAAGTACGTTGTTTAAAGTTAAAATTATTATATATCTTAAATCTAATAATTAATAGACATGGAAAATAATATTCGTGTGCGTTCGGAAATCCGATGATTGCCGGACAATTAGCAAATAGAAGCACTGGATAAATGTTGACACTTGGCAAAATTCATAGTAGAATGTTTTTGGCGGGCGGCATATTTGAGCTGATCTGAAAAACTTTGCTTAATATATTATGCTAGGTTAGACTGAGGAGTCTTTAAGAGAATACATTTAACATCATTTAATGCTGTTCTTTATGTCGACTAAGGCTCAATTTATATTTCGGCGGAACGGAATGGAAGCGAATTTTTGTAACGATATTGTACATAGTGTAATGAACTTTATGGTCAATTGTATAACGTACAAACTAGATACGAGCGAAGAATTGCAAAGCGCGTCTCCCGCGGAATTCTCGTGCATGCTCACGCATTCGCGAGAGTTCCGCAGCACCTTCGGCGACGCCTGGCAAATCCATGAGAAATGGCGCGAAGGCAGGCGAATTGTGACGTCAGTCGCGAGAGATCTCGCGAATGCTCGTGCATTCCAACGACGGCGGGCGCTTTATCGCGCAGCGAGGCGAAATTGACGCCTCCGTTCCGCGGCAATGTAAATTGAGCCTTAGGTGACAAAATCGAGTTCTTAGGTTTTCGGGTTTGTTTACATTTCGTCACTTAAAGTATTTTTTAGATCTGAATCGCATATATTTGTTTTTTCAAACAAAAACATCAATTTGGTGACGTCATAAAGGCTATTGTCGAAGCGCAGCACGCGAACCTTTCATATCATCCACTGAAATTACACAATCTACGAACGGAATTACTCGTTGCTCCACCGAAATGAATGAAATTTGAAACTAGCATAAAAATACAATTCTACAAGTCGTAACGAATTCAATCTGTAACCTAAGATAATTTAGGTCAGAAGTCATAATCTGAAGCGTTTGAGGAAATATATTCAATTGTAACTGTGAAAATGAAACATATTTTTATAGATCTTGCGTATAGTGAAAGTTAAACAATGGAAGTCTAAAGTCAAAAAATCATTTTTCACTTTTCATGCTCTTAAAGTTCGTATTTATGCTGTAGTGCATAAAATAAAATCGTCGTTTAAGACCGAGGCTATGACGCCTGCGCCAACAGCCACACACACTAGAACTTTATAAAATAAAGTTTTACTTTTATTTTTTGAATCCGTGTTATATGTCTAATTGTTGTAATTTTACATTCAATTTTAATTAAATAATCGTTTATTTGCTGTTTAATTTCCTCGCAATCGAAATGAAAAGCAGAGTGTATAACTCGTTCATAAAACCCATTTTGCCCTCGACTTAAGTATCCATATGTATACTCGTCTCGAGTACAATGACGCGTTTTATGTAATTGTTGTACAATCTACTATATTCCAAAGGTAAATAAATTAACACTTGAAAACATCACTTTATAAGCCACTGTGCTGACAGTCCTGAGGAGCGCGTATATTTCGTGCCTTATAAAGGTCCAATGGTCATGGCTGACTGAGATGGTGAACCATGCGAAGTTTATTAATATAAATTCATAAAAGTCTGTACTACCTCAGCTCAAATTCAATTTTTTCCCGTACTAATACGGTTCATTTTGCTAGGGTCGAGCGGCAGGCACACAGGCTTTATTTCAGAATTTATTTTTTCACAAACGCGTGTTCTATTTAGTTCAGTTGATATAAAAAAAAATCATTAGTATATGTAAAGAACCTGTTGAATATAACGGTTTTCTTGTAAAACTTCGATCTACGTATGTTTTTTTTCTATCGTGAAATTTTTTAGGTATCGTGTATTCACACCGTATAATAATCAGTATTGTATATCATTGACTTACAATTATATGGACGTCGGGTCCGCGCTAAAAAGTGTCCGAACTTATAGGGCGTTAAAATCGTATACAGAACGTCATTCACGCTTTAGTCTTCGTTTGTTCGACTGACAGCGAAGCAAGTAAAATTAGACGGTACTGCGATGACATTACAATTTAAATTCAACGTTTTAACTTTTTCA